GCACTGTTTATTAGAAACTGAACTTTCCAAAGACAGTGTGTAAGAGAAAGTAGTCAAAAGAACCATATATACACACACATATATGTATACATCTCTTTTTCCCTCTTTTGTAACACTGTGTAGAACTTTCATCACTCAGCCAAGTGTAGGTGATCTAGTAGGCATGATGTTTATTGGATACGAATTTGGTACAATGCACGGTGATCCTAAAGCATTACATATATTTCTGCTTTAAACCTTTGATCTCTGTAAAGAGATGGAAGCGTCTCTCCTATATACACTGCTTCACCCCCAGTGCTTCCTTCTGAAAGTACCTACGTGACAGGTGGTAGTTCAGGAAAGTTCATGAAATGATAGGGATCGGTACTCCCTGGTAAGTCATGTCACCTAGATGAGGAGTCTCTCCTAAAGAGGAGGTCTGGGGTTTTTGGTACCATTTTATAAAGCGTACATTGGAAAGAGATTTTGTCAGTACTGAGACATTTTTATCAGGGAACAGTGGGCTTGAGGGTTTCACACTTTAAGCCAGGGGAAACAGAAGCACCGTCAATACAGAGCTGACCTTTATGGGTTCCAGAGCTCCTCTGTGGTCCAGGGAAGCTTTCTGTTATGTTTAGTTGCAAATGAGCATCCTACACACTTTATATACCCTCTTCCTCTCCTGTAGGTAGGTGCATTCATTATTTGTACCTTTTCCCTCCTCAGTGTTTACAAGTGAGTATCTGAAGGTAGAAAAGGTAGGCAGAATGGACAGCTTTTAGACAAGTTAACTAGATGGTCAGACTTCAGGCAAAAGAGGCCAGTCTATCCTAGGATCCATCTGAACTGATGGACATGCTTTGGCACTTTGGAAATTCACAATGCCTTTTTGGGGCTCTCCCTCTGAATTGCCTCTTTTCCATTGGCTGTAGAAGGAGCTGTGGTTCTCCACTTGTGTAGTGAATTTGCATGAATACTTTTTTGGGGTACATAGGAGATGCATGAAGATACTAATTTCTTACTGCAGTAAAAGTGTTCATAAGATATTATTAGAAGGGACAGAAAACGTAATTGTTATTGGAGATATTCTTCAAACAAAGTTTGAGACTTTGAAAGAAAAAGAATACATAATGAAAGTGGTTTCTTGTGCTGGTTAGCAACAAGCTTGGAAGGCAGAAAACTCTGTGCCAGCACTTCTTACTGCAAAGGTCTGCTATGACCTGATAAAGAAATGTTCAGAAGAAAAGATAAGGGTGTGTGCACTGAAAAAAAGCTGTTAACATAACATTGTTGCAAGCATTATGCTGTCTTGTGGAATGGAGATGTCTATCCAAATGCTTGTTACTCCTGTTTGCTTGGTTTTAGTGCCATTTGGCAATCTTATTCATATAGAGAGACTGTAAACAGTTGTGGGGTTTTTTGTTAATATTTGGTGAGATAGCAACTTGTCACTCCTGAGAGTCTAACTGGTATGTTTTTCATGTGTGGAGGTTCATGACTGAGGAACATCCAGGAAAAGCCTACGAATAATGAGTTGTAATACAGTGCATGAGTCCGTAGAGACACAAGTATTCCATGTTGTACTATTGTATACTTTGAAGGAAATAGTGTCAGCAGAGAAAGAGGGTGAGATTTTTGACAGCGGGATGATGGTTTGCCAAGTGAACTCCTTTTGCTTGACAAATTTATTTCCTTTTTATTCGAATTATCAACAGTTAACTCGGCATCATCAGCGATATACCCTTGGATGAAGTACATACCTGCGTCAGACCACCTGGAACATTGACCAACAATTTTGAGATGCACTTGGGAAGCAGCTCTGGAAGGCATAATACTGTTTCTTTAAATGATCCTAAATAACTAGGTGTGTAATTAATCATTAAATTTTACAGGCTGGCAGTGTTTTTGCTTTGAATACTTATTTTTATGGTGCACTGAATATTTAGGAATATATTATGATCTGTGACTAGAGCAAAAGAAAATGTTTGCCTTTTGTGATCAACAGGCATTTCACTTCCATGTGTCCAGGCTTTTCCATCTGTGAAAGTATACATTTTCCATGCTTACAAAGAGCTTTGAGATCTACACAAAGTCTCTCTGTAGGTGTGACATATGAGAGTATCCTCATCACAGCTAGAATATTTTGTTAAATGCACAGTTCAGAACTTGTTTTACGTATGAATAGAACTTGTCATCTAGCTGTTGGTTGCGTAACTTTTGTGCTCCCTGCACACTTCACTTGGCAGTAAGTAAATTCTTTTCAGGACATCCAAAGCTCCTGGAGTTACACAGCCTATGTGGCATATAAGCCCTTGTTACAGCTGTTTTAGGAAACAGTCTGATTCAGCCAATAAGCAGCTCAGGAAGTGATAAGTGCAACAGGGTTAGGCTTTGGAGGTCTGTTGCCTCAGGGGGTAATGACCACGGCTTCTTTGCTGTGGGGACGGTGACCTGCGGATTTTTCAGGTTTGTTTTCTGTTGGTTTTGCCCTTTGCCAGATAACAAAAGGAAAAAAATGAAGATGTGTAAGACAATACCTATGTTCATTCTGTTGTTCACAGGTGAGTGAACATTTCTTTATATTTGTTTTCTCAGCTATTACTTTCTCTTCAATACTTGTAATTACTTTTTGAAGATATTCCTAAGTATACTCTAAATATTAATTCATATGACGTGATCTATAAATCGTTGTACAATCCTTGAAGGTGTTTTCTCTATGCATTATTATATTGTACGACATGAATGATTACTTTAGTTACATCTCTATCAGTAAGATATAACTCACTTAAAAAGCATACAGTTATTTTGCCATGCAAATATCTGTAGCACCCCTAATAATAAAACTTCAGGAATAAGTTGGGTGGTTGTATTTTAAAGAAATCCCCTGCAGGTACAGAAAGACACCCGTGCCAATAAAAGGTAAGACTTCTTGCAACATTAGTCATCTTAGATTCATTAATGAATGATGAAAATAAATGTTAATGTCAATAATGATCAATAGTCTAACAATCAATAGTAGAACTGGAGAGATGACAACAGTTACAGCTCATCCCTTTTTTTTTTTGTCAGCACTGCTAGTTACAGGTACAGGGGCAGTATCTCAGTGGTGCTGCAAAGAAAGCAAAAAATTGAATGATTTCAGGCCATTTAACAATAAGCACCAGGTCTTCCTAATCGTCCCACAAAGCCTTTAGTAAATTTACTGAGTAGAAGTGAGAAGGGGTGGTATCTCACTCTGCAAGTTTCACGAACTTCTTCCCAACTGCACCATTTGCATTATTAGGACTGGCAGGACCCCAGCCCCTTGTATTGTTTCTGTCTAATGAAAATGTTTGTGATTAATACTCAGAATTTGTGACTGGATATGATATAACAGAGACACCTTACATTATTTGTGTCTAATATTAGACAATAATGAAAGGATTTTATATTTAGCAGTTAGAATTTGTGACCGATTGTATCGGTTTATTAAATTTTCACTAGAAAGTTGTTTCCTTGTGAAAAAAGGAAAAAATAGGTATAGGTTGGTGCAAAGACATAAGGCACTTTCTTCTTTATGCCTCTGTCCCGCTAAAGGCACCAATAGAGGGAGAATTTAAGAAGGTTCTAAGAGGTGGAGGGAGTTGGCTAATGGGCCTTCTTATCATGAACGTACATGTGCTCTCGAGCGCAAGCCTGGCTGAGAATTTATGCCCTCCCTTTTCAAAGGAGTTAATGGAGATATGTATATCATCAGGCGCACTCTCTGGAGCTGTGCTCTTCTTGGCAGAATCCTGTAAAAGCTTCGCAGTGACAAAGCAAGTTTTCCTCCTAACCACTGAGCAACTTAAACCCATTACTAACAAGCGTGGCATGTTCTCAGAGATAGAGTCAGCATCTGCCTGTAAATACTGTTCTTTTTTATTGCGACATCATGGTTGCATCTGTTTGCTCCCTCTTCCAGGGAAGCTGTGGATGTTACGCCTAGAGATGATGCTATAATTCCAGACAGAACTTTATAGATAAGGAGATCTCAGGGGACACCAGAATTATGTAAGATGTTTGATGGTGGCAATTTTTTTTAACTTGTATGTCCAAGAATCTCACCTGGCACAGCTTTGTCCCCCTGTGCTGTTTCAGAGCCAATTTTTTCCCTTGTAGAACCTCCTAGAACTTCACTGGCTGAATTTGCTTCCGTAGAAGAGGTTTCGTTTTGTTTTTCATGTCACAACTGAGACTGTGTAAGAAAGCGTCTACTTAATGCTCCAATAACTTAACAAAGGGTATAGTTTTCCTCTCATCCTGTCATTCAGAAAAAGTTCAGGGAAAGTATCTTTCACCCCTCTCCAAATCTTCTTTTTCATTAATTTGCAATTGAAGTTGAAGAGGAATGTGAAAGAAAGTTTTCATTTGTTAACTAAAGCAAGCTAATGAGTGTCATCATCTGTATTAATGTGATTGTTTCCCATTTGAGAAGCAGATAGGGCAAGAGGAGAAGTGAGAACAAGGATGAATATCAATAAACAACCCAGGTGAATTTAGCTGCCGTATCCTATCGAGCCCCACCAAAGCAAATTAAAATGGTTTCGCTAATTTTCACAGTGTGCCCAAATGTAGTAAAGGCTATAGCTCTGCTACTACTCCTTTATGGATTTAATTTTCTTACTGCAAAGCAAGGAAACAATGTCTGAGAAGAATACCTACGAAATTTTTTTTTTTAAGCTGAGTAAATGACAGTCTTGTTTTTTCAAAACTTTTTCTGAGAAATGTCTTAATTTCACCTGAAATGCTCATACAGAAAAGTCAGATGGAAGGAAACATTCCAAACGTAAAACGGCAGGCAAGATTGGATTTTATAACAGAAATTATCAAACAACCTTAATAATAACTGATATGACATACTCCAGCAATATATATATATTTTTTTTTTTAACTTTAGGATATCTTTGTAACAATAACTATGGCTCTGCAGAGACCACAATGTCATCAAGCAGTTCCTCACCTGCTTCCAAAGTCATGCAAGGTCCTGTATCAGAAACAACTCCTGTATCAGAAACAACTCCACGTGGGAGCAATCACATTCCAGGTCTGGTTTTTTATTTGTTGCTTCTCCAAATCCTGGGTCAGTTCTTCCCTCAGTAGGCACACCCCAGTCTTGTGAATTCACTGTTCCATTTTTCCCCTGTTGTTTTCCACCCAATGACTCTTTCTATCCAAAAGCCTTAAAAAAATTGCAAACACAAACCAATTTAGCAGCAATATAACCCTGTGATTGATTTAAACAGGTTTCCCCTGTTTCTACAGAGGTGGAAGCTGAAGCGCACAGAATATTTCAGACATCTCAAATAACACAGCCTAAATAATTGTCTGTCAAGAAGCAGAAAATACGTCACTTAGTATAAAATGTCAGGCACTTTTCATGATCTGTGGATAGCTTGGTATTCTGTGCTAAAGAAAGAAAACCGATGAGGAAGATAACAGCAGAAAAAGGCCCCACAGACCTGCTAAGTGTCTTGATTCTTTCTGTGACACCCGTCTGTGCAGGATCACCAGCACCTGCCTCTGTGTGTGTCTCAAGTGATAACCCTGCTCCTGGGGATCTTCCTAGAGGCTTTATGAAGTGATTGCTTTCACAAGCCCCATCTTCGCTCTTATGATCCCAGCTACGAGCTGCATGAAACTTTATAGGTACAGGCCAGGGCTTCAGAATGCTAATGCTTTCTTAATTCCTACGTTTGTGAGGCATTGTGCAGTGGTGGTCTCTGAAGCAGCTGCTAGGGCAATGTTGCTAGCTGAAGAGTCAGGAATTTTACCTGCCCTCTTTCTTCCTCGTGTCTTCTCTGTGCTTCTTATGCCGAGACACTACTCAAGGCTCAGTGGTGAAGGTGGAAGAAAGGCAAAAAGAAGGAGGAAACTTTTGGCGGCAACAGTCTTATCCGTTTGCTTCCTCCTCCCTCGTTCAGCATGGCAGGATCTGAAGAAAGCTGCTGTTCTGACTTGGACTTAGTTACGCTAATTATAAATATATGTAAATGCACAACGCTCTGAATATATGAGAGCGCTCCGGCACACGAAGCCTTACCTGCCAAACAGACAAAGCACCTATGAAGGAGGGTGAACAGAAATCAGCATACAAGTATGGTGAATGTAGGTACAGAGTGGTTAATAGCTGCCATCTATTATTTTGGCAGGAAATAATGAGTTAGTTTCCTTCTAACACCTGACTGTAAATTCAGTGCTTTGTAATCACCAAAAAAAGGTAGGGAAAACAGCTTTAGCTTCATTACACATAGTTGTACCGTTTCATCATGTTTCTAATTTTCATTCTTTTCCTTTTAACAGAAAAACATCTGCCAACTCTATTAGGTAGGTTGACAACTTCAATATATATACTTAAATAATATTTTTCTTTACCTAAGTTTTGAACTTTTAACTTCTTTTACTGCAACTGGTTATTGAAAACAAAAGCTACGTATGGACTTGCCTACGTTAGCCTGAAAAAGTCCGTTTTTTATAAAAGAGTATTACGCTCCTTTCTCTGGTGATTTGAGTAATAAGAATATCACTATACTAGACTAAACCATAGTAATTTTCTTTCTTATTACCACAGGGGGCTTTTTCTTTCAGTAAAATCTGTAGCACCAATAATATTGTGAGCAGAAGTAACTGTCGGTATATTAAGATTGGAGATGAATATAGCACATGCTTTGACTGCCAAAAAATCATTGACTGTAATGAGCTGTAACGTGCTTGGTTCATTTCTGTACGAATCCAGATTTGAATGAGATTTTTGTTTGTAGAAAAATTAAAGACCTAGATTCTAGTGTCACATACAACCATTTTATGCTGCATAATTATCCACCACAAACGTAGGTATTAATTTTTTCCTTTTCTTAATGGCTTAGAGTCATGGGTACCTTTCTTTTTGCTCTTCCAGTGGCAGGAATCAGCATTTCATTAGTGTTCCTTTTTATTCTTGTAATTGTTGGTGTTTGGTATGTACAGAAAAAATCAAAGGTAAGTCCAAGTTTTTACTTTTGGATATTTGTTTACGTATGTCTATTCATCTGTCTATGTTACAGAATATGAAGTGTCAGCTTCCCAATTTTTTCACTTTTCACTCAGATTTCTGGTGTTCATTTGCACTGTAGTTGCTTTTCCACTGGGATTTTTTTGCCACTGGATGGCATTCTTAAAGTTAGTCATCTGGTAATCAACGTTTAATTTACCTCAGCTGACCTCCCTTCCTGGGTAGTACCTGCTCATATTTTAGTAGGAATGGTTCCTGGTTTGCAGTTTTATTCTCCCTTTAATGACAGTTTTTGTCATTAAAGGTCCTGCATCAGAGATGACAATTGAACAGTTCAAGTGAGTTTTATCTGTCTGAGTTACTTCAGATGCTATAATTATTTTGCAACCACAGTCTTACCTGTCATAAGTTAATATTGCTAAAAATTAAAATATTAGGTAACTTATCTAATAAGAAGAATAAATGCAGTAACAGTTACTATAGATTCAGGTATGCAAAAATAGTCTTCTGTATTAATGAAACAAGTTAATATAAGGAAAAATATCAGCAGAACTAATACTAATATTATATTGACATTATTGATTTTGTATTTGTGTAGCTCAGATGTATACTGCAGTGATAATAACATATCTGTATTTCTTGCACAGGGAGGTTCGGCTGAAATTAATTCTGTCCCCTCTGGTGAACCTGGAGTGTCCTTAAAAAAAATTTCAACAGATGAGGACCAATGCGAGTGGCCTTTCGAAAGAGCATTACAATGACAGCGGGAGAGCTGTTGCATGACCCTTTGGTCTGTGCGCCTGTATGGCAGAACCACGCCTGCAATGGGACTTCGAGTTAGTAATATTCCCTTTTTCAGAGAGCGTTTCAAATCGCTCCAAAATAATTTGGAATGTCAGTTAACAAGAAAATCCTGTTACCAAAAGAATCTCAGCCAGTGCTATTAAGTAAAGCATTAAAACTGGGGGAAACATTAAAACCAGGGAGGTTCTTAAATGCCACCTGACATGGCATGCGTTGTCTGTAGCGTAACAAGAGAAAGGTCAAAGTGCTGCAGAGCCTCAAGCCTTATAATCTCTTTCCTCATCAATACCGTAACTAAATCCAGTTCTGAGAACTGTGTGATACTAGGGACTCTGGGAAACTTAATCATTGGTATTTATGGCCTTTGCTGTGTTATATATCTGTTATATATTGCAATGAGGTGTATTTCCATCCCGCTCTTATTTGTGTAACATTTTTCATGTTTTTCTTTTCTTATGTCACTTTCAGGAGGAAAGAAGAAAGGAAAGTCCTCTCAATTGTAGCTATTTAAACAGCACTCTCAAAAAAGCTGTATCTTCAAAAAAGTTAAATTCTTGAAATTAAAGAGATTCTAGTTACAGAAAATGGCACACTTAGGCTATGTCTGTTCTAATAAATTAAACCTGCACAGGAACATTGCTACTGTTGAGGCTAGCTGGAATAGTCCTTGTTTATGCTTGCATACGTGTGAACTACCTATTAGAAATGGCTCCTGGAAGGCTCTAGCTTCCAAAATTTGACTCAGGCTAAAACCAGTTTGCCAGCATAAACAGTACTATTCCAGTGCCTGGGAGTTTCCTAATCATTGCTTAATTTACTAGTTTAGATATACAGTGTTATTGTTTAAAGCTATTTTTAAATGACATATTTGATGTACCTACTCATTCATTTATTGACAGTTATTAGCAGTGATTAATCAAAGCTGGCCACTGCAAACTTTCATTTACTCACTGTGCTCTGTTTTTCTGCTGCATTCTACCTGTCTAAAAAGCCAGTTGCTTGAATATAAGGCTTGTTGCTAAAAGCTTATTATGGTGCCTTAGACGGGAGCGTGAATTTAGAGTTGAACTGCGTTGCACTCTCACAAGGTAGACGCTCTCATAGACTAGAGTAACAGAATAGTCTCACACCCTGACCTTAGGCCAAAGCTTTTGCATCCTTGCCGAGTGAATGCAGAAATCACTAGTGTGACGTAAATTCATATCTTGGCCTATGGCTCTGCGAGGCTGTGTAAATTAATCTGTGTGAAACCCCGTGTTGTGACAAGGCTGCCACTAGTACCCAGAGAAATTCCACAGCCTGAACAAAGACATGCAATTCAGTTTTCAGCACATCATCCATTTTGTAAGAGAGGAAATAAGGAAATTTCAGGAAAAAACTATTTTTATAGAATGCAAAAAATAAGTTAATGCGTTGATAAAATTATGTCCATTAAAATCGGCAACTGTGTGGCTAAAAGGTTAACTCCTCAGTTGGTATAAACAGACAGGCCTTCCTTCCTCTAGTTCTAGCCCTTGATGATGATGATGATGTTAATAATCAAGAGTCAGTTAAAGCAGAAAACCTGAATTTTATTGGATGATACTGTCATTATTCCAGTACTTCTTCCCCTAATTGAGTAGCACTTACTAACTGGTGTCAGGTGTTCTCAGCAGCACGTGACTGCTGTGGAGCTCTGCTTGAGCAGGAGCCAGGGGATCTGGGGCAGAAGGGGCCAGAAGACACACACCCAAAGGGCTGCCCTCCGGTAACATGGTAGAGGAAGGAGGACCGGAGAGGTAAGGGGATCGTCTGAGATGGCTCTACCAAAACGTTCCTGGGTGAGCTTTGGCAAGTGACCTTTGTTTCTGAGACTGAGCTCCTGGTCTATAGGGCAAAACCAGTAGTATGTCCCTACCTCATATTTATCTGTGAAGATAAATACATTTAAGAGCGTGGGGTGTGTTAAGTCCCACAGTAGTGAAGCTATCCTGAGAGCTGTAAATCTGCAGGAAATCACAGATTCTGTTTGTCTGTAGATCTTCTCAAGCCAGTATTATTTTTCCTAGTAAGAGTAGAGAAGAATGCTGTGTCAGCTTTCGATTTCAGGTACTGATTGACATTCTCTACAAATAAAAGCAGTTTCTTGCCAGGGTCTGCACTTACTTCATGAAAGTTAAAGAGAGATTTTCAGTTGACTTCAGTGAAACAAAATGCAAAGGAACATTTGAAAGTTCACCGCTTTTTTCATCTGCTCAATAGATAAAGATATCTTTTTCATTTCTGTGTGTCTGTTCTGAGTTTAAGAATGAGGTAATTATATGAATTATATCTGCAGCAATATTATTTGGGGTGGGAGAGTTGTGCTATTGCTGCTTCCTATGTGTTTTTTTAATGTGCATCTTCTGTCTTCCTTCCATTAAATAGAAGTTCAGTAAGTGCTTAAATGCTTTTCTGGATTCTAGATCAAGAGTTCCCTGGGTAAAAAGCAGTGTTAGTTGAATGCAGAGGAAGTAAGAATAACAAACATTTGATCATTTGCCAGGAATAATTCATGTTCACAGTACTTTTTAATCGATGTGTGCAAGCCTTTATGTGAATGATTCTGCTTTTGGAAATGTTTTCAGAGTGGTTGTATTTTATCTTCTACAGAAATTCTACAGAATTTGTGTACTAGAAATAATATTTACTATTTGTTGTTTGGTGCTCACGTTTTGTTATTGCACTGCTTAAAATGTTTGTGATTGCTGAAGTAATCAAAAAAATTTCCTCTAGCTTGGGTGACCAGTCCCACAAGAGTGGATGCTGACTACTTAGCAGTTAAACTACCTGTGAACTTGGAATTATTTGTGTCAGTGAAGTCTGTGCAACATATGGCCCGACACATGCGCTCACAAAGCGGTTTGTTTGGCTCATTGCGCTGCAGTTTCATTGGGTGCTGATCAGCAGAGAGACTGACGGGCATTACATACCAATGGGGTAGATGGCAGTAGCAGCTTGCTGGGAAACAGTGGGGAGATGGTATTGAAAAAGCAGGTTTAGGCAGTAAGGCAACAGAAAACTTAAAAGAACCGTGTTCTGTGGGTCTGATTTGGAAATGAGGCGTGCATTATAGAAAGCTGAGAGGGGATCGGCATGAGATGGGGGAGGTGAAGTTTTTATTAAAATGGAAAGGGAGAAGTGTGTGGAAATTGGGAAAGCCCTGATTTGCAGAAGCTGGGGGCATGGAAGTTGGACCAGCAGTACATGCTACCTATGGTTTGATGGCCCTTATATTCATTTGAATGGTAAGCCCGTTTTAAGTTAGTTTATTCACACTTTTTTCCCAGTATAGGAAAGATGAGAAGGAATTGCCTTAATTTGCAGGAAATAAGTTTTAGATCAGATGGCAGAGAAATCTTTTTGAGTACAAGAAAGGAAAAGCAAACTACCCAAACTGGTGTTGGAACCTTGCTCAGTGGAGATTACTTTTAAAAACAGATAACACAAAATACCCCTATTCCCGGCACAATGCGAAGAAGGTTGTATTACATAGTCCCTGCAGGTCCCTTCAAGCCCTGAATTTCCAATTTCTAACCAATACCACAGCTAGCTAGCTGTGTTTGTACAATAGCTAGCTCCATTTGTGAATAACTTGCAAAAAGTGAAAATGCTGAGAGGCCACTGAGCCCAGTACCCTGCAGCCAGCAACACTAGTAACAGGTGCCTTAGGAAAAAGATGAGCATAAGCAGACATAGAGTAATCTTCCTCCCTCTGCATTCAAACCTTTTCAAACTTACTACCTTTTCAGCAGTGCAGACATGACCTGTACAACACACTGAAGACACGAGTTCCATAGCTCAAGATCTCTTTTCTCTCTTTTTTTTTTTTTTAATCTGCTGTCTAATAGGCTTATTCATTGTCCTCTTCATCTTTTTACTATGAAATGTCATTAATGATATTATAGACCTCTAGCATAACTGCTGTGTCCCCCAAAGTAACAGTGTTGCTTATACTACATTGATTTAAAGATTAGCACTTTAAAAATGTGAAAGCACTTCTGCTTTTAATAACTGGAGGCTGAAAATTGCAAGCTTACTGTACTTTCTGAGGTAATAATTGCTATTTTTACAGTTTCTACAAGATGTTTAAAAGTTAGTGTCTGCACTTACAGTGTGGAACGCAAGTTAGAAGCAAAAAGTATGCTTCTTCAGTTCGAGTATGTTTTGCTAAAGAACATTGACAGTATTTTAGATAGTCGCTTGTATTAGTTATGTATCATCCCTGTTTTTATACACATTAGCCACATTGGTCAAACCAAAAGACTTGCTCTTGCTTAACATAAAGATGAACACACATTGAAGGATTCACCCACAAGATGCATTAACCTCTCTCTCATAAACAGAGAAAAACATTTTCAATATGATTAAAATCAAAAGCCTGGCAGTAAAAACTTAGGCATTTTTAACCCTTAAAACATTGTTATGCAAAGTCATCCTTCAGGCCTTTAAATTTTTATTTGTATCCATTTGTGTTTTCTATTCCCCTTCCGCCTGTACGTGCTAGAAGCAGGCTCAGCAGTAGCCAGCATGTTTTCCTGTCTATAAATGAAACCAGGCAGAATATTGTGGATGGTAAATATGATACAGGGTGAGAAAGGACTGAGTGGCCTAGGGTGTTGCTAACAATATGTGTGTCTTTATTTAGACAGACAGACAGTAGGTTTGATCACCGCCAGGCCATTTCACACCATCTCAAACAAGACTGTGAAAGCACCTTGCAGTGAATTGTCAAAAATCAGTAGGACTGCTTCTGTTCTTCAGCAGTCCTTGCCAAGAAGCAAAGCATTAAATAGACACACAGACAAGCACATGAAATATCTTTCTGTCTCATAAACATTCCGGCTAGCGAGCTTTGAACCAGGCTGGATGGCTGGAAGCAACCATGATAAAAGACAAACTGGATGCTTTTTGTGGATAGCACTTGTTCTTTTGATAGAAAGACACGGGTCCGTTGACAGAGAATTTCAAACCAGTTGTTTTCAAAGCACTAAGTTTTGCTCCCAGACATCACTTTATAATCATGTTTTAATACTATTGGAATAATTGACTGTGGCTTTCTATTCCCTCCTATGTGTGCTCAAGTACAGTGAAGAGAAGTGCTGGAGCAAGACATCTGTGCTGTCTGATTTGGGGACTCCAGTCTGCGTACAAGAGCAGGAAGGGGCGTATTCGAATGTATGCCACTGATAGGGTTTGTGTGGGATCCCCTGCAGAGATATGTTCTCCTGTGCCCCTCCCTTGCCTCAGTTAACCCGTGAACACCCTCTTCTTCACTTCATGCTGGACATAAACTTGATTTTGCATACAAAGGGTGTTTTGAACAAGAAGCAGCAGAGATGCTTTTGCCAGGTTTGTGCCATCAAAAGTACACCAGACAAGGAGAATTTTTCCTGAAATCTGTAGCTGGTGAGGGATAATTTTGCATAGCTGTAGTGTAGCCTTAATAAGTGGAATGCCTGGGCTAATTTTAGTGGAACTATTTTGTATGTATTTCAGCTATACCTGGCAGCAGTTTTGTGCCTCCATTTAAACAAAAAGGAAAAAGAAATTTCTGGAGGACCCTTCACTTAAAATTTTCAGCAGGCTGACTATTATATTTTGTAGCTACCTCTAGCAGGAATTCTGAAAGTTTAATAGTACAGACTGGGTAGGTAAACATAGAGGTGTATAAGTAATGTAGAAAAATTTCTATTTTGCATACTCTGGTTAACATAGTCATTGACTATATGTATGCTCTCATGAATTTGCTGAGAAGGTAGTCTCCTGTCCAGTTGTCAGAATTCTTCTGAGTTGAACTGTGGCACGTGGATTTTGACTAACTTAATGAAGTCTATTCCACAACAA